TCTGACCTCCACCAAATGAATTTTCGCTCAGATACGAAAGTCTTCCTCCTGTCTGCCCCCCTTTAATCGATTTTTCAGTTTATGATTTTGCGTTGCCTTAAATTTTTCCTTTGCTTGCGAATGGGTTTCTTCTTCACTTCTTTTCTTTAAATTTTGCAAATCTTATTAAAACAATTCTTAATTTTACGGATGGTTAGCTTTTTGTTTCAACTATTCCGTTTGAAAATTTCTCAATTTATCCAAACCCAAAAGTAAAAAATTTATTTAAAACAAATCCAATTGCTGCTATATTTCTTTTTTCTTTTGGAAATAGTACAAATAAACCGAGCCGTTGTCAATATCGTCTTTATCGGGCGAATTCAACTCAAAGAATGAATAGGAAGAACAAAGGGGCAATGATTTTATTTCTTCCAAATCACCAGTGTTGCGCTTTTGGTAATGCGACTAGTGCGTTAAATTACAGATTACAAGTTAGAAAATATCGAATATTATGCACACAAGGTGTTCAGGTAAAAACCTTCTGCAGTTTTATTTGCTTGAATAGTATAAAATTAATGCTTAATGCTTGTCTTAAATGAAATCTCATTGCTTAAACCAAAAAACCTAATTACAGATTTCTAGATAGATTTACGTTCTTTGTCTCGGCGATGAATTTCTAATCAGAACTTCTATTAACTGGGTGGCAGCACCGCAAACAGCTGGAGAGTGAATGAACCATAAAGCAACATAGCGATTGGGTGGATTACCAAAACAAAACAAAAGATTGCATAAACTTATTTGACTTTTGCAAAAAATGTAACATTTTCTCGCTTTGTTCGAATAAATAAATATGAACGCTGTTATAGCCTTGTGCCACTTCTGTGAGGCACATGGGCCTAGTGCTATATTTTGTACACAAACATTACGGGATACAAAACTGGAAGAGATACAGTTGGATCAGCAGCAACTGGACAGCAAAATGTGTTCCGCCTGCAATTCACTTGGCCAAACTAATGGCTTGTACAGTAAGGATAATGAAAGTGGAGCGACGTTTTTAAGCACACAAACTGCAGCATTGCCTGACGTCCAGATGTTGGTTAAGCAAGCAGCAGTGCGAAGCCTTAGCTGTGAGATCAACTCCAATAAAGATGGGGGATTTGTATTCTTCGGTGACTCTGCAAGAGGGCATGTACTGAGCCATACATTTCAAGTAAATGATCTGCAGGTAGGTTGAATATTGATGTTTTAATTTTTTATTAGGAAAGATAAACAGTGGTATGTACTATTAGTGAAAACTCAGCAGAAATCCATTTCCCATGTTGCATAATTACCTACATTATTTATTTGCTCTTTAGGCTCGGGGCTTCTACCAACTATTCTCCATTATTGTACTTATGAAGGATAAGTACTTCCTTCTTAATACGAAACCTTTCCTTGCTGAACATTTACGAAAAATTTCAACAGACATTCAAACATCTGCCAAAAAAAATCAACGATGATACAAAAGAACTGCCTCGGCAACGTCGATTGTCCAGTGCACAAGTTCTTGTGCAAACACCACGCTCTTTAGTAGAATTAACTGGAGAAGAAAATATTTATGCATTTCTACATTCACACTTTTCGTGGATATTATTGGCTGGTTCGCGTTTCCTTACGGAACATGTTACTTTTGGCAACTTACCGTGGTTGCCGCCTCAAAGTAGCGATCGTCCGCCGCAACAGCGTCTTACATATAACATTACACTGCCAATGATACAAAAATACGAAGAAACTATTAATGATCCCGAAAGAGAAGAGTTTTATTCACTACGACATGTAAAGGAAATTGTACGACGCGAATTTAATACGGTGATGTATTGTGCACTAACCGGCATAAAGGTGATAAATAGTTATTTAGAAATCCACTTAATCACAACGTGAAACGTTGACATTTTTAATTACAGATTATTGTACGTGGGCGCTCAGATCGTACGCTTAACTTCATGCTCTGCTTAAAGAAGCTGCTACCAGAGCCAATGCATAATCTCATGCGCATCGATGCGCAACATCAGCATTCTATCAGTTCTGACTATAAAATAATATCAGTATCGAATGAAATAGCAGTTCCTATTTCGAGCAGCTCAGTGTATCGCATAGATTTTCTAGATGATTCAACAGACGGGCATAAAGTTTGCGTAAAATGGCCAGGAGAATTACCAAAAAAATGTATAGCTATAAATTTGAAAAATGCGTGCCTCCTATTTATCAATATTCTTTATGATTTTTGACAGGGCCAGATTTAATGGTAAAATTAATGAAGGCTGTGGACGAAAAACGGTTTACCCCTTTGGTGCTAAATAAACAAACAAAAGTCCTGATAGAAGAGTGGAAAAAGTACGTATTATTACTGGCTAAAATATTCTGCTTATTTTTACTTCTTTCATCCCTTTCCTTGCAGCAAAGTTATTTGCTTAAATCGAGCTAAGTCGTCGAATGGTCAGGGGAAACTTAGAAAAGTATTAGGGGTGCAGCCGCAAGACCAGCCATTAATTAATTACTGGAGTGGACATTTGCAGTAAAAGGATTCTATATACATACTAGCTTTAAAGTAAGAATTTGAATGAATTATAGATATTAGAAATAGATTTGATACGATGATGATTTTGTAACTTCCTACAAAAATGTAAAAACTCGAATTGAAATTATTGTAAATTCCATAGAACACTTTGCGACAAAAAAAAAATAAAAATTCAAAACACACGAAGCAATCGATAAACTCACGAAACTATGGGCCATTATTGTAAAACTGCTTTTTTACATTAATTTTATTTTTTTTTAACTAACGTAGGACGAAATTCAAATACGTGGTCGAGTGTTTTTGGTCCTTAACATCTAATTTTTTTTCAAAAATAAATATCGCAAATATTGAAGAATAAAATTTTAGCAAACATTAGTCACGACTTTTTCCATTTCATTTACGATGTTGTTAGTCTTTTCGCTTTTAAGGTAACGATATGCTACTTCGTAGCTATTAGGATTCATTTTTTGATTGATTTTTGAAATGTGTGAAATTGGCTGTCGCACTGTGGTATTATACTACGGGCTATTTAAAGATATATATATCTATTGCAGTATTTCAGTGTTTCAATTGCCTTCAATAGAACAATTCCAGCAAGATAAAGGGTCGATTATGGATAGCAACGCAACCTCAGTTGGGTTGCCGATGGGCTACAAATTTGATGATATTCGAAGTTTCAGGTACCACCAACCAAGATTTGATTGTAAATAAACCGCGAAATCGTTTAAAATTTCCGCGTCAACCACAAAAATTCAGTTGCCAGGGTTCAATTGCCAGTTGCCGTCTGTAATATAATTTCCAATATGTAATATAATTGCCCCAAATCATTTAATGTTTGGGGGTGTGCTTTATCTGGTGCCGCAGAGCCGACCATCGTAACTTGAAAATGGTCATGAACATCACTGGGAATGCTAAGCGTGCAAATCAGATCTAAATGTATCAATAAAGATCATACCAAAGAACATAAAAAACCCTTCTAGAGCGCATTATTTTACTACGTTGAAGACTAATTGCAACAACCCATTATGTACTGGAGATATTTGTCGCAGATTGCAAAGTTTCACTCAAGAATTTGGAAATTTTTTAGTAAACCTTCTATCAATAAGGTATAAGTAACTAAACTAGTAACATATAAGAAGAACACTACACGCATTTTGTACTTTGGAAAAAATTATAAGTAATTGCATCTTTTATTTGCATAAACATGTTGTGCGGCTGTCGTGCACTATGCAGCAAAAATCAATAGTCACAAATACGAAATTCGTGGTTACCCACAATATAATATTACAAACGCATAAACGTACTAAGCTTGAGTGTTTACTTCTTGTAACCGCAGCTGGAACGACGACCACGAGCACGTTCAAATTTGCGACCCTTTGATCGCACGTATGGGCGGGTGTGCGAATGTGGCACACCAGGCGCCTTGCCGAAGTGCTTGCAGGCTGTTCGTGCAGTACGTTTTCCTTGCAACAATAATGTATTTTTGCCAGTAGGCGATTTAAGAGCCAATTGATCGAAAGTCAACACTTTGCCACCAGCCTTGATGATGCGCTCGCGAGCTGTCTGTGTAACATGTAAAGCGCAAACAGTCATCTTGGGTACTTTCAACAGACGAATGTCATTGGTAATGCTACCGACAACAACAACAGTGGCTTCTGGTTGAGCGGCTGTCTTGAAGAAACGGCTGACACGCTGCAAAGACATTGGCGGGCGGTTAGTTTTGCTCATGAACAGGCGTTTCAAGACGATGCGATTAAACTTCTTGTTGGTACGACGCTGTAGGAAGCGGTACAACTGTAAGAAAAAAAAAAGAAGCGATTAATAATAATAAAACACACATTAGCACATACAAGCGGTAGACGCACTAAAATATTGTACAAGCCAGAGAAATATCAGCTGCTAATAATTTCGGACACCTCAAACAACATTTGCATTTTCACACGGCACAATATTTTTCCTGTCTACCAATTGGAAACCACTTACCTTGACAAGAAGACGCAAGTAAACATCCTGAGATTTGGGCTCAGTTCTGCGAACTTTGCGATCGTATTTATGGCTGATATCAATACCCTGAAATGGTTGTAGAAAAAGATATTCATTACAATTGGTTCACTATTGTGTTTCACAACTTTCTAGCATAGCGAATATTGATGAAAATTGAGATTATTCACTGATGTTTCGAAATTAATTTATATGGAAAAATATTTCTTCAGGTCTTACCATTCTGGCGACCGGAAAAAGAAAGAGACGTGTAATTGGCAATACTGCTTGATCAATGACAGTTGTCAACTTGACATTTGAATAGACTTGTTTCGCGAGCACTAAAATATATTACAAGTGTTGTCATCGGCATGCAACTCTGCGAATACGTAGATTTTAAGGAAATTTGTTTGGGAATGTTTATTTAAAAACTTTAAATTTACAAATAGTTTTTAAAATTAAATTTGCAAATATTTGATATCATATTGTTTAACATCATTTTTTTTTTGCTATTTTTGAAATATAAAAAATTTTAGATATTTATTCGCAAGTACTTTTAAACTTTCAGTTTAAACTTTCCTCTTTTTCATAATTTTCATAAACAATACCATTCCTGAAATTATAAAAACAATTGGAGTTAATGAATTATAAATCTTGTTTTTTTCTACATACCAACAAATACAGCAATAACAAATGCAAACATAAGCCACATCCAACATTTCCATGCGTTGCGAGAGTGTTCCTCCAATTTTTCTGTTTCTTTATTTAAGGAATTAATATTGCGATCGGCCATATTTGTAGACTTTGACACGATTTCAGTATCCCTTTTAATTATCCGATTTGCGGTCTCGGTCTGCTCCTTTAAATTCCGTGTAAGCGAGAGCATATGCTCGGTAATTTTTTCTTGTGCCTCGCTATAATATTTAACGGCTTCGCCCATATTTTCCGCGCTGGTTGGACTATCATCCGGTTTACGTCGGCGCAGTGTATCGTCTACATAAAGGTATTATTAGAAAAAAGCTTCTAACATTTACAATATAATCCATACCTCTCAATAAATCCTTTTTTAAATCTGCATGGTGTTTGGAGCTTTGTAGTTGCTGCACTTCTTTCAGAGCATCATCACCAATTTCATATGCCGGGCGTAGCTTTGAACGCAAGCTCTTAACTGGCGGTGGGCTGTCTATATAGTTGGTAAGGGCTTTGAGATCATTAAGTCGTTTTGTGTAGTCTGGTACTTTCAGATTACTACCGATGCTATAAATAAATGTAAAACAAAAATAAACTTCTGGTACGCATGAACACACGAACAGGGTACTGACTCGTCGCATCCCTTAAGTTCTTCTATCATAGTGTCCAGTGATTTTATGAACTTTTTAAGCCTCCAGTAGTTGGCTTCATCTTTAGCTAGCTCCTCGCAATTGGTCAGAAGAGTTCTAATATTTACGTTTAGTTTAGTAGCCATATTCTGCAAAAAACACGCATAAACAATAAATAGCAAAACGAAACGTAGCAATTAGATTGGCTAATCCACCCGTTGCTTTATGGTTCATTCGCTTTCCAGCTGTTTGCGGTGCTGCCACCCAATCAATAGAAGTTCTGATTGTAAATTCTTTGGAATGCGAAATGCAATACCGGAAGTACAGGGTGAAAACACGTGCCTCAGACAGGGTTTTAGCTCTTTTCATTTTGATGCGAACTTTATTTACAATTTCTTTGCAACAATTTTTAAACAACTTTAATTCGATATAATTTAAAGAAATTAAGTATCTTCTAAATATCGGTCATGGTGAGATTATACCATGGATAGGATTGAGGGATGGAGGGATAGGGTTTCAGCTCGTTTCATTTTGTTGCGAACAACTTTAATTCGATATAATTTAAAGAAATCAAATATTATGTAAATATCATTATTGGTGAAATTATACCATGGATGGGATTGAAACTAAACAAAATTTGAAATGGTTAATATTTCCGATATTTTGATGCTTTCTTTTATTACCGTCTACTGACAGCTAAATACTTGTCACGTTGAACACACCTTTGGGCAGAATGCATTACTGAACGCATACTTCACTACATAAACTCGTAATTGGAGGAAAATTTGCGGAAAAGTGAACAAAACGCACAATCGCACCACAAAGGGAAAAATTTCCAGCAAATAGTTAAGTGTTTGTTGAAAAGATAAATAATTCGCACATAAAATAGCATTTAGATAGATATATATTGCTTGTTCGTCCCGTGCAGCTTATATACAGATCGATTTCAAGTGGTATAGTAATCTTTAGTACGCCGCCACTATCAACATGCAAGCGATTAAGTGCGTCGTGGTAGGCGATGGAGCAGTTGGTAAGACCTGCTTGCTTATCAGCTACACAACGAATGCCTTTCCCGGCGAGTATATACCTACTGTGTTCGACAATTATTCCGCAAATGTTATGGTTGATGCGAAGCCCATTAATCTCGGCCTATGGGATACAGCCGGACAAGAGGACTATGATCGCCTACGCCCGTTATCGTACCCGCAAACGGATGTATTCCTTATCTGCTTTTCGTTGGTGAATCCAGCGTCATTTGAGAATGTACGCGCCAAGTGGTATCCAGAAGTGCGTCATCATTGTCCAAACACGCCCATCATATTAGTCGGAACGAAATTGGATTTGCGTGATGATAAAAATACGATTGAAAAGCTACGAGACAAGAAATTAGCACCCATAACTTATCCACAAGGATTGTCTATGGCTAAAGAAATTGGTGCTGTTAAGTACTTGGAGTGCTCGGCACTTACGCAAAAAGGTCTGAAGACAGTATTCGATGAAGCCATACGCTCCGTTCTTTGTCCAGTGCTGCAGCCCAAGTCTAAACGTAAATGTACGTTACTCTAATTTGCCGCTAGTTCAAGCCGTGCGTCAACAAGTAGGCGTCACGATCCAAGCGGAAGGCAATACAATTAAAGCCTACACGGGAAAACGCCCATCGCTTGCAAACAATAAAATCGGAACCGAAGAGAGAAATCAAAACTAACCAGAAATAAAAAAAATCGTTTGAAAATAACTAAAATAACTTTCTATACGACGCACTCGAAAATGCTGTGGTTAGTCGATAGCGAAAAATAATCATAGTAGGAATCATATTTGATGTTAAATGTAGTCATGTCATTATCGTCTATGAAATTTCTACGCTAATCTAGAGAAAGATTCGCAGTTAATTGTTCTTGTATAACAATTCAAGTTGGTACCATTTATTTTACACCTTACTCCATATGTATCTATGTATATCTACATTTGCAACGCTATACTATCAGCGGGAATGACTAATTGCATTAATTTCACTCTGCCCTATATTTACATATGCGAGTTGAATAGCCAAGCGCATTGAGTACTATTGACAACAATGCAAGCAATGTACGCACATACATACATACTTTGGCTAATTATGTACAACTTAAATTGTTTAATAAATTTATATAATTACATTATGTTTTCTTGTAAATGTTCCATTGTGCATTAATTTAAAACTAAAAGTTTTGATGTCTATTTAAAAATTAAAATAATGGCTATAAACGATGCAACCAATTATAACATCATAAATAAAAAAGTGCTTTTTTATTATTAAAATAACTAAACCACATTCAAAATCAAAGCAAATTGCAATTGAGTGGAAAATGATCAAACAAAAAAAAAAAACTTAATATTCAATTAAATTGAACGTAGAATCGTGTTCGAACAGTTCATATAGAAGATAGGAATGCAAAATATTATCTACTTGTAGTTGCTGTAAACCAAATGTTAGCCATCTTACCAAAAATTAACTATTGGCGTTTCTCTTTCTATCGAAAAATGTTACCTTCTCATTGCGCACTTGGCACAAACAGTAAGAAGAGGGCATTGAGAAGACAACACTTTTTGTAGACAAGAAAACGCCATCGAAATTCATTAATAAAATTGCCATACACACATCCATACATACATACATACGTAATACAAAACTACATAATTAAATGTTTGCAAATTGTATGTATAACGTATTGTAATTGTAAGATTACCTAAAAATCATGCAATGCTAAGCGAAAATCTAAAAAATCACAAGTGACTAAATTTCCTTGTTAAAGTACGATTTGTAATACATACGTTTATATAATAATTTCTATTACATGTACTAAAGGCACAATAGATATGTATTGGATATAGTATGGACATAATTTTAAGTATGTACGAACCATACATTCATGTTCACAAAAGCTCCATTCATGCAGATATACTTTTTATGACTACTCCAAAGGATTAATTGACATTAATTTCATTACATATTGATGGAATTAATAGGAACTAACTGAATGTGTGTCTCTGAAAAAATAATAATAAAGTAATTTGCAAAGAAACGACGAACTATGTTTAATTTACATATGTATAATTTTCAAAAATAACAAATACATAGTAAGCAAAGCTAATAAAAATAGCGGTAGTTGTAATTATGAATACTGGACATTCTTCTAAACTACGAAATATCTGCGTAAAATTTTAGTATAGCATATTCCTATGTCATTTAAATTTCTGCATATCCCTATTTGTTCTCCTCAATAAGTGGCGCTTATAACTAACTTTCTATTTATTTAACAATCTGTTGGAAATCAGGCAACAGCTTAAATCATGTGACATGTCACATCCAATAACAAGATCGGCTGAACAGATGTCTCCGCAAACTCATTCAATACAAACCAATTCAGGCAAGTTGAAAATCTAAAAATAACTTTTACGTAGTGATAAGTAAACAAAAATTTTTATAAAAATGTATGCTTATGGTGTACAGTGTACATATGTAAGTAGATACCTTCATACATACATATACTTTTATATGTGCACACATATGTATCTACGACACATTGTACACCCGATAGAGTGGATGCATAAAATCTATATACATACACATGTGCATACATATGTACTTTCGTTCATTTGGATTTGGAAAAAAGAAACGCCTTCTTATTTTACTGTGATTCCATCATTGTTTTAATGCTGCAGTCCAATTTAATATACAATTATAAGATTTGTACACGGTATATGTGCCAAAACTTATAAGATCATATCCATATGTATTTACATATTGCTAATATACTATGTAAATACATGCATATGTATGTACATTGTACATACATACCTACATACATGCCTTCGAATGCTAAATAATTTGAGACACATTCGCTTATCTCAATGCCACAGAGCCCATCACGTTGGACTGGTTGATTGTTCTGGAACTGTATGCGTGGCCATATTTCAGAAATTAATATACAAATGTCTATATATGTATATGTGCATGGAAGAATTAAAAATTATATTTTTCAGCATATAGGAAGCGACACAGACCAAGAAATTTGCTGACCTATGAGGAACAAAGTAAAGGGATAGATAGCGATAGCTATGCGTCGAATCAAACAAGTGATTACAATTTACATATATTTTTGACTTTTATTACAAGTGCATTGTATTCAACAATTTTGGTAATTTTAAACATTGCACTCATTCGATATTTTAATAATCGCTACATGTACGGTAACAGTTTTATATGTAATGACATACATAATATGTGCATACATAATATATTATGTACATACACACATGTGTGGCTCTACAATGAGTTTAATGGTACATATCAAATATAGAAAAGATTAGTAGAAATTATTATACATACATCTAATGAACTTTTTTGGCACACATAAGTAACATGTAGTAGCGAAGCTAATTTCTTCTACTAAATTTCTGGAACTGCCGCTACAACGCCGCATATTCCGAAGTTTTATGTAGTTTATGTTAGAATTATTAAAAATTAAGAAAGGCAAGTGAACGATTATGTATTAACTTATTTTAGTACTACATCAAATATAACTATTTGGTTATAACTTGTTCTTTCAATTCCAGACAGAGATTCTGCATATTAGTATTTATGCATTTTAGTTTGTGTTCTTGCGGCATTATTGTAATTTTTTAATTATTTTATCTAAAACTCATCATGACGCGCCAGCGCTTCACCAAAATCTGTCGCTTGTGAGCCAACGAATACATCATATTTTTGTAGGACTTCATCTTTCGTCAGTTTCTCATCGCCATCATTATCCGCTTCGAATACTAAATGCTTGGCTTCACTTTCGGCATGATCGAAATCTTTCGGCACTATCCAAGCACGTACTTCCTCGCGATCAAGGAATCCATCACCATTTAAATCTCTAAATTTGCTGAAACCTTCGCGCTCACTTTTAACCCATTCTGGTTCTTCGTCATTTGGTTCTGAATTTCGGTACATGTCCGCAATGTATTCATCCACAGAAATTTTACCATCATTATCGCTATCAATGTCTTCAATCGTTTCGGTTAATACTATGTCTTTCATAGTTGGATGATCTTCCGGGTGCAAGAAAGCGGTAAACTCTTCACGTGTTAGTTGATCATCCAAATCTAGGTCAGCGACACCCCAACGACGGCGATCACGTTTTTGCAAACGTTTAAAAGACATATTATGTTCATCATTTTCGATTTCCTCTTTATTCATTGTGTCCAAAAATCCATAAACATTTTCACGGTATGCCTCCCAACTGATAGTTTTATTGCCATCAGGATTATGCATCTTCCACATCCGGCCGACATCTTCATCAATGTAACGGCGTTGTGTATATTCTATCCAACGCTTAAGCTCCGAAAGTGTTACGAAACCATCTTTATCCTCATCGATGCGATCGACGATAAGTCCCAACCGACGTTTACTCTCTTCCGGTGGCAGCTGATCGAATGATTTTGCCTCATCTTCGCCCAAGAAAGCTTCGTGGTCGTACTGTTTGTTGTGGTGACCTCCTTCGAAATGCTTATCGCCATCTGAATCATGGTCCAACGGACTGTGCAGTGTATCATCACTATCATCTATTTGATCATCATCCGGTTTTGGAATTGCATGGGATAGAAAGAATATGCTTAGTAGAATAAAGAACAAAAACGATAAGCGGAAGACCGGCATTTTTACAACAAAAAAAAATCTTCCTCTTTTGTGTGAATGTACAGGCCTGATTTATACAATAACTAATTAGCGGTCCACTGCGCGATTTAAACTATTGCATTCAACAAACTTTACGAGAATAGTGCAAGATGTTTATAATTGTTTTGCTTTTCAATCAATTGACAGCGAGCGGATACGTGTACTTTGCGAACAGTGTAGCTTGTTTTTAAAAATCTCCCATTTCGACAATTTGTTTATTTTTCTTATAATTAACGGGCAACGGCTTTTTTTTAAAGAGAGTATCAAAACATTTTGGTTTTCAGAAAATTGTATGCATGAATAAAATTAAAAAAATGATTTACCATCACAGTTAAAAACCGAATGTTGACTTTGTTTGAGAACTTCTAATTCTTTGTGTTATATTTTTTAATTTTAAAAATTCGCAATATCGCAAATTCTTTGCTAGAATTTGCATATTGCATACATAATCTTGATCAATTGCTGATTCGCAATTTTTTTTTACCTAACAAGCTTAGATTTCGAGTAGAAATGGTTGTAGGCAACTCTTTTGTTAATAATTTCCCCTTTTATCGTTTCTAACATTACACAAAGCTGAATTGTGTGCGACCTTCTCAATTTTTTTCAATTTTCAAAACGGCGTTTTTGCTTTTGTTGTTGCGGCTCTTCATGTGAAAAATCTATTTTCTTTAGTATTTTTTCGTGTTTTATTTAGAGAAAAACTATAAAATAAGTATTAAAAAGTAAGTTATGGTTCACTGCACCGGTGTAGATACTCTATTAACATAAAGAAACGTTTTAAAAGTTAAAATAAATTAGCCTGTTCGTAGGTACACATCTTCGCCACACATTTTTGGTTAATAATTTCAACTTTATTTGCAGTAATTTGCGTGAATATGACGACCGAATCTGCGCTTCCACTCCCTCGACTACCAGTGCCGGATATTCGCGCTGAAGTAACATTTCAACATTCACACAAGCAGGGCCACGGGCTGCAGGAATATCGACTTCGTCCTCCAAAATTGAGGTTGGCGAATCGTAGCTATTCGTCTGCGTCTATGTCCACAACCGCGCATGCGATTTCATTCCGTGGCGAATCCGATGGCAATGGCAATGCACTTCCTGAATTGGACACCAATGCGTTAAGCGGCTCTTATGATGCCTCAATGAATGAAACATATTTTGAACAATGCTTCACTTGTTTGGCGAAAATTGGTGAAGGTTCATTTGGTGAAGTCTTCAAAGTGCGTTCAAACGAAGATGGTCGCATGTATGCGGTGAAAATGTCAAAGGAGTTATATCGTAGCGAACATTACCGCCAGGAGCGGCTAGAGGAAGTGCGTCGTTATGAGCAATTCTCTGGTCATGCTAATTTTGTGCAATTCTATCGCGCGTGGGAACAAAACGAACGCTTGTTTATGCAAATGGAACTGTGTCGAGAAAGCTTAGACAGGTACCTAGTACGACATCGACATATACCTGAAGAAAAAATTTGGAATATTCTTTTGGATTTGGCGCTTGCATTAAAAAGCCTTCATGACCGCAATCTTATACATTTAGATATAAAGTTAGATAACGTCCTAGTAGGCGATGATGACAGTTG